TAAGATATGATAAGATGTTAAAAGAGTGAATCCTTCCCTCCCTATTTGTATTTTATTGACAAAGCAGCCAGAATACTTTTCTGTGGTTACTTGCCAATCTTCCCCACCATTGAAATCCCCTTTCAGTCAGTGAACCCAAACAGACTTGGTTAAAAGGGTCTTTTGTTGTCTATTTCCTGCTCCTCCTGTCTTGAGTCGACCTTGAGGTTGGGCACCAGGGGAGAAGACTTCCGTTCCATTCATCCCTCATCCGTAATAAGGAAGGTGCTTATTGGCCACTGTGGGGATTTAGGAAGATGTAATTATGTCTGTGAAGTCCACTTCAAGAATGTTAAAAGCATGTACCGAATATGTATGTAGCTCTGAAGTCTCTGGAGTATTTCTAATCATTGGCAAAGGTATGTTTTTGTGCCTTTTGAAATACAGGTGTAATTAGATTGTTTTCAAGTTCAGATAGCTTTCCCTCTTGGTAAAATGCTTCAGCTTGTTAGGGTGTTTTTCAAGGAAGAATTTTAGAAAGTTGTCAGGATCATAATTTCGTTAATTTGTCTATAACATTCTACTGGCGTAGCAGGTCAGACGATACCCCAAGCTCAAAATACCATGGGTGTATTCTTGTGAGGGGTACATTCTGGGCTGTTACACCTGTGTATGAAATATAAAGGTGAATGACCTTTCCACTGCTTCAAAACTCCTTACATAATGATTTCCTGTTTGTATATTTTGTTTGTTGACACATCAATTAGATGTATCTGTCAGAGTTCTCCTTTATTTTCCTGTCTTCCCCTTCAATATTTGAAGACCCCGTTCTCGAGTGGTGTACACACGACATCAAGCATCTTATTTTGTCATGGCGTCTTAGTTATCTGGACTGTGGACCGAGTCATCACTTTAAAACTGTTTGCCGAGGACTGTACTGTCTATAAAGCTGACTGATTAGCTAAGTAGGTACACTCTGTTAGATGGAAAAGATTACAGCAATGGCCTATTGACTAGAACGTTTTAAATGACTCGTTTCTCAATATTTCTGAAAAAGTGACAGCTTGAAAGTTCATCTGTGTTAGTAGAAGTTATTATGAACAAGGATCTGTAGCTACTAACTACTTGTACAAGTTAAAAGATAGTTGTCAACATAAAGACGATGGGCTCTTTTCAACTGTATGACGCCAGTGTTTGTCAAGTGATGAGTCCAGCGCTTCTGTGACGTCACTGTATGTGGATCGCAGACATATGAGTCAGAGACAGTAGATCGAATGTAGCAGATTATATGTGGTGCCTTCCGTGTCTATTTAGCGATGGCTTCATTCTTTGACAAAGAGTTTGAAAGGCTGGTGTTGTACAGTTGCAACTTTAGGTAAGTTCAGTCATTTGTGTTGGCAATTACAGTTAAGATCCTTCTTTACAATGAATTTTACCAACACAGATAAACTTTCAAGTTAATACATGTATATATTAACTTTTTACAACTGATACCAGTTATAAACTCCTAGGCTGTCTCTAGTGTAAGGTATGAAACTGTGAGGTTATCTTGTAATGATGCCCCCTGTGCCTAATGGATCATTACTGCACTGGTGCCTTATATGGAGCAAATGGTTGTGTTAGATGCCTCAAGGAAAGGTCAAATACCTTGTAAGAACTTTTCATTAGAATTTTTAGTTACATATACATGTATACCATTTTCTTACCTCAAGCATTTATTCAGCAAAGTTAAACTTTTGGATTGAAGTAGGAAGTTTTGGATTGAGTTAGGAAGGAATTAATTCTGCAAGAAGACCACTATTGACACTTAAATAAATCTAGTAGACTCTGACAGGTTAATCAAAATGCTGGGTTCTAATCTACAATGTTTCTCGGCTCTCTGAGGGTTAAACATGCCCTGCACCCACCAGGCTTTTAGCTAGGGGGTGTCCAGGGTGTCTTTTGGACGCCCTGTACTGAAAATATTAAGAAATTGGACGCCCTACTTTTTGGTAGGACACCCTAAAGACGCCCTATTTTTTCCACTCCCAATCCCTGCCATGCACACATGCCTCCCTTCAGCCTTAGGCCACACCGATTTAATTTTATGGATGACATCCTCTGAAGACCCCCAAACTAGTGCGCGCGGGCGAAAAAAAAAAAAATCTGGCCAAAAATAAAAATGCTACAAAACCACTAGGAATACAAACCTGGTGTTGTGAATTTGGCGCATTACATAGCGACGTATACGACAGGCCGACACATGCTGGATTTGCGGAATGTATGAATCGACACTGCTGTACGTATGTACTGAGTTCTTGAGTCTTGGAGCTTCGGTAGCCTGGCTGCCGTCAACCAGAGTTATCACCACCATGCACTACCCAGGCCTAAAGCCAGGCCAGAGCCTCGGAATACATGATCTTTTTTTTTTTTTTTGAGATCGGGCGAAAATCAATGCGCGCGCGGATGTCATCCATAAAATTAAATCGGTGTGGCCTTACTATAAATACAAAAATGATGGTTTACTGGAGGAAAAAAACTCAAATTTGCACCTCAAAATGCAGAAAGTAGTGTTTGAGAGCATTGTGAATTTCAAAAAAGCCTCCCTAAAAAGCTTGCGCACCGTGCATCTTCACTGTGGATAACGTACAATAAAAAAAATGGACACCCACCAAAAAAATTCTACCTAAAAGCCTGGCACCCACTGACCTGTCATCAGACCTTTCTCAACATTTGCTCCTCCACAGCCAAGACAAACAGCATAGTTTGTAGGGAAAACAGACAGAGGTCTGTGGAAGGGGATTACAACATGGTGGATAAAGGGAAAGATAAAGGATTAACATTCCTTATGACCTCCCATGGCATGAGTGTTTTGTCGTAAAGATGTGAGAGGATTTTAAACAGGTGTGAAGATTTTATTGAATTGCCTTTAAAAAAGTTAATCAAAGCAGTTGTAAAGAGCTGCTGGCTCATTTTCTGTGTTGTACACCTTTTTTGGCAGAAGTAGTATTCTTTTCTAGCATTGTAGTTTACCTTACATGTACATCAGATTCTGCTTGAGGACTAGAAAAATTATTGTCTGAGAGCAGTTTGAAGGAATCTGTGCTGCCAGACAGGACCATAGTTTCTAACAAGAAATTATGTTACATCAAAGTTTTGTCTAGAGTTGGATGTGTTGTATATATGTCAGTCTTGTCCTGACAAGATTCTTTGTACTGGATTTTGCCCTGATTGACCTTTTACTTGCCTGTGTCCTTGATTGACACCTTTCCTACTGATTTTTGTCCTTGGATGACCTTTTCTTACTTGCATGTGTCCTCAGTTGACACTTTTCTTACTAATTTTTGCCCTTACTTGACCTTTCATTACTTGCCTTTCCTACTATGTAGCAAGTTTTTAGCCTTGATTGACCTTTTGGTGCTTGCTTGTGTCCTCGATTGACACCTTTCGTACTTTAGCCACTTTTTGCCCTTGATTGACCTTTTGTTAGCCTTTTGTTACTTCCTTCTGTCCTCACTTGACACCTTTCTTACTTTAGCTAGTTTTTGCCCTTGATTGACCTTTTGTTACTTGCTTGTGTCCTCAATTGACACCTTTCCTCCTATAGCTAGTTTTTACCCTTAATTAACCTTTTGTTACTTGCTATTGTCCCCAATAAACAGCTTTCCTACTATGATTTTACCCTTGATTGTCCTTTTGTTAGTTGCTTTGTCATCAATTGACTACTTAGTATTTTGCCCTTGATTGACCTTTCCTTTGAGTGACACCTCTCCTCCTGGCTGCTGAGTTTGATTGACAGTTCTGTAACTGTGTTAGTGAGTAAACAGGAAGGAGGACAGGAAAAGGACAGGACCTGTTCCCATCAGATAGTGCCACTTCCCTGCTGAGAAAGTAGATCTGTATCTAAAAACGTGAGAGAAAACCTTCTGTATGACAGTGACTAAGCACATATAATATTGCAAGGTATTGAAAAGCCAAGAAAAAATTGTAATCAAGCTGTGCTTTATTCCAAGGAGATTATAGGGGATTGCAACACAGTGGCACACTAGGCAGCAAATTTAGCTGCTGTTGTGCTCTATACATTTTAAACACATAATACAACACTAAAGTCACTATAAATCCAATCAGTAAAGCTATATAATGCTGATTGATATAATGTTAATCTATCCCCAAACAGTTAAACATACATACATTGATTAATGGTACTAAAAGCTAAGCATAACTATTGATTTGTGTTATTCTTCGTGTCATGTATATATGGTAGAAAGTTGAAGAATTGCATGTTCTCCCTGTCAAAGTTTGATAAATACGTATTCCTCTGTGAGACTTGTTTATTTTTCCATATCACATGATTGGTACATTGTTTCTTTAGTGTCTGAAAGTAATGCAATATATTTGCTGTAGTGTTTTTCTTACTTACCCTTGACAATGAACCTGCCTTTGTAATGGTATGTGTCAATCATGTAAAGCTTCCTTAGTTTGTGCTCTATATATTTTCGCACACTTCTGCTGTTAGGCACATTCAGTACATGTTTGACAATACACATTTACTGATTAGCTCACTTAATAGATGTTTTCTCCCCCACTTACTAGGTGTTTCAATACACATTGATGACAAAGCGACAACAGTAAAACTTCCCGCTATTGTCTCCTTTGTTTTTCTAGCAACTGCCAATGTTTTCTCACTTCTCAAGCTTTTGTTATTGAACATAAATCAAAAGAGGCTTTTTGTCGTGTTTGTTTGTTTCTTTGATTCTCTTGTTTCCTGGCTTTAGAGAAGTTAAATAAAAGCAACCCCCTGGGGTTCAAGGGTGTAAAACGGTTGGATCTGAACAAACAAAGATTAGGAAAAGATTAACTACTGATCATAAAGGATTAAGTCCTGATTAGAACCTCATTATCTGGTCTACAATTCTTGTTTAGTGTTTTCCAACACTTCCACTGGCCAGTCTGTTGGAAGAGTCAGTCAGAATAGTCAAGGATAATAGAAGCTCCTTGGAATATTTGGTGAGTAACATTTTGTGTGTTGTTTGTTCAGAAACATAGTAATAGTTACCAGTGCAGAGGTTATGTTTATACCAGCATTGGTCTGTTTGTTTACCAGCTATTTGATTAGCGAACAAGATGACTTAGAAAACAATGTATTCAGAGTTCTCACCAGTATTTTTCACAGCATATAGATGTCAGTACCCTGGGAGCCAAACTGGTAAGGCTGTTTCTTTTCGTAGCTTCCTTTGACCATTTTAAAACAGGTCAAAATGCTGAAGTACTACTACTGTACTCGGTACAATAATGATAGATGCAGACATAGAAAATGGTTTTCACTGGTGCTTCCTCCTAGCCATATGATGAAATAACTTTACCTTTTCAACCATTTCGAAAATCCAGGTCAACCTGAAAAATCAGGAGACCAGAAACACTATATTTCCCTGGGGCATATGGAGTCTATCCGTTTTATAGAAATCATATCACAGGTATGGTGAAAATGTAGTTATGATAAATAAGATACCTCTCCCAAAACATTAAACTCTGACCTCAATTTTTTCAAAGAATGCCATGATACATTGTGTTCCTATGCTATAGCCATCTTGCCCAGATATTGCTTTGTATGTGTGATATGAATAATGTATAAATTATCCAAGTTGCTTGCTAGGTTGTTAATGGCCAGCATTAGATGTAGTTTTAGAGAATAAGACCTCTGTGGCACCACAGAAAAATGTAAGCCAGTCTCTATAATGTACATGTTGTAATGCTTAAATTTTTCACCCTGAATTTCCATCAGAATTGCATATTGTAAGTAATATGTTAGAAGAAGCTGCCCTGAGTTGATTGAAGTTCATGCAAATTTATTTAATTTCACTATATGAAGGGAAACTTGTAGGTCACAAAAACCCAAAATACTTATCAGAGGTTCTGAAACAGCTGATTTCTTGTTTTGTTCCTAGTTGATGATGACAGAAATCTTCAATCCAACTATTTGAAATAACAGTTTAAAATCTTGCAGTCTGCATTGTGGCAGAAAAAAGTACTGAATGCCTGGAAATCGACCATTCCGTCAGTTTTCACTCCAGCACAGATTGGAATCGGCAAACTTGAAAGGATCGACAGTTGGATGTGTCTCCAGCTAAATCCCAGACTCCCTATCCGCAGCTCATCTATCAAAACTGGCAACTAGCTATCTCCCAATCTGCAGCCAAACATCCCGGAGAGATGGCCAATTGATTCCCCTTCTTGCTCACCTTTCGGCAAATCCTTCAAGTCAGTGTAGTGAGAAATTGGACACCAGTTGCCAAGGAAAGTTTTCGGGCTCTGCGATGCAATTTTCATGTAAGAGGAAAGCCGGAACAACGACTATCGACAGCTTGAACTTATCCGGCAACCATTGCAGGTAGTTTGGAGCAGATGTTATTAATTACTGTAATTTACTGCTTCAATTGCACATAATATATAATGTAGTATCAACGTTTTAGTCTTTAGTCCAGGTGATCATTTTGTATTTATGGGGTTCAAAATAATCACAAGCAATTTACAGAAATAATTTCTAGGTGGTAGAAAAATATAAAAGATAGATTTGATTTCTTACAATCTGCAACATATTTTGAGCATGTACAGCATTTTGCCCTTTCATAGAAATATCCCCTCTTTTTGTGGGAATGTGTTCTTGAATACCGGATGCATTAGTATATATCTGGATCTCATATCGCTTTAGTTCTAGGCCACTGTCGGTTTTGACAATTCCTTTTTGCCTAGCCACAGGAAAAAACACTCTGCCTCTGACCTCTCCCTCTGAAAGCTCTAAGTCTCCCAAGGCAATTTGCCTTCTCCATTTGAGGGTCCTGCGGAGAGCAAGAACAAAATCAATACAGTCAAGGAAGAAAGTGCTCCTCTGCTCTCCATATGGTCTCATCAGTTGTAATAGACTGCAGAAAGCAATTAGACCATGAAGTCACTGTAGATTCTTAGGTCGGAAAGAGCAGTACAGTTTCATCTCAAATATTAGTAGAAAGATTTGTGTTACTGTAGTAAAATGTAAGTTTAAGTAGCTAGAATATGCCTATGTCATTTGGATCTAAAGTAAGTAGACTCAAGCATGACCCAGCTGAAATATCTACATTGAAGTCTCCTTGGCCAAAGGTACAATTTCGCAAATCCTGTTGCAGCCCTCTCTTTATAACCAGAAGCATTTTATGGCCAGTTTAGGGTAACCTGGTTTAGAATTTAAGAGACGATGCCCTAACGGTGTTTTTTTGGTCCTCCCTTGGCAGAAATAAGGCACACTGTCTATTGCACCATATATCCCAGCCCACCCTATAAAAGTGTCAAACCTCTCAGAGAAAACCTCACATCTCCAGACCATGAACTGTTAGAAGGTTTTACCGGGTGATTTCTATGGGAATGAAGAGTCTGCTAGCATGACAGATGTGATACCTTATGTTTGTAGGTTTGGGATTTGAAATTCTGTCTGACTCAGGTCTCCCTAGTCATTTTTTTCTCTCACACATAAAATTCAAAATCATACATATGTATTATTTATGAGACACAATGTATAAGCAAACCAATTTCTGTCAATTCTACTGTCAGAATTTTTTTTTTTTGTTCTTTTTGCTTGTTTGAATTTCATTCCGACTGTTTGTCCAACCTCATACTGCACCTGGGGTTTTGCCCAGTAGCAAAACTGATAGTAAAATCACAAAGGACGACTACAGAATAATTTGGAATATTGGACTAGCCAGATTCCCCTTGGAATAAGAATTAGGGTTGTGGTCATTATTGTTACAACTCAGTAACATCCGATGGCAGGAAGCGGTGAATTGAAATCAATATTCTTTCAAAAGCAGCAAAATTGCAATAAAACTCAATAATGTCTTACTATGTAGGTATACAATGACGGTAAAACCTTATAAACCAACAAAAAAAAATCACTTAGTCAAATAGCTTTGTGCTAGTTGATTTTCATTATAACATTTGGCATCAATGCATTATACAGAGGATAACCTTATGAGAGATGTTTCCTCACGAGAGACAGAAAGGTACTCTGTGCTCCATAGCTCACTTGGTTAGAGTCCAACTTGGCAGGGTTTCAAAGGACCTGTAGTTTCAGACCACAACTAGACCATTCACAATAGGATATTCCTGTTAGGTCTGTATTACTTGTTTTGCATTTGATGAGTTTGTTGATTTAGGGAATTTCTGCGACTGGTTGCTTGTCCCATCTTGATTTTCTGCATCGATAATGGTTGACGAATAGAATTCTGATTGAGATAATGTTGTCAAATCTGTGAATCTGTGACAGTTAGGCCATTCCAATTGAATTTTCTGATCTGATCCATAGATTTAGTACATGTAGAAGTAGTAGATGGAAAAATAATGGTTAACTGAAAAAGTCTGACAATACCTTGCTACGTAACATTTTAGTGAGTGAACAGAATCAGGTGTAAGGGTTTATTCCAGCTACATTGTATCTGACATCATGCTAAAGTATACAAGAGAACTAGAAAATTAAATTGGTATGATCTAACTGTTCAATAAAAGTTTTGAGCAGTAAATTTTTTGCTTCGAAACTAAACTTTGGATTGTTTTGACATTCAAAGTTGGTAAAAGCTTTACAATGAAAATTGATTGTTCCTTCCTATTACCAATGGTTTATGGCCAAATGCTACCTGTAAGTGTGATGTCACCCAACCATCCTTCTCTGTCAGACAACCCTCTCTTGTGTAAGGATGACAAAGTGCTTGGCTTATCATGCATGTCCTCCGCACTTGTTGTCGATTTTTCTTCGCTTGTTTCATCAACAGTGCTCAAACAGGTGGTTTAAAAGCCTTCCCTGCCTCCCCGAAACCTAACGCCGCTCTGCGTTCTATTGTCTCAACCTGTGTAGAGGTCGTAGGCCATTCGCAATCCAGTAATTAATTCTAACTTACCCTCAACACCCACATACAGGCCCTTAGTAACATAAACTGAGCGCTGCCCTGCGCGCTGTTGCTTTAGCAAAGTACACAGCTAGTCGGCAGATAACAAAAAGATTAAAAGGGGGGTTACGCAGAAGTACAGATAACAGGGACGGTTTGCTTTTGTTTGTGTCACATTTTGGAGTTGTTTGTTTATCGCTGCTGGGAAAACCAACATACTTCAAAAGGATTTGTAGGACATGACAACGGGAGGTAAGGACTGCAATTTAAAGCCAGTAGACCCGAGACCTGCCATATTTTCAACGTTACTCGCTATTCTGTGATTTTTAACCAGTACAGGCCATATCTGACCCTTGGATTACTAGTATCAGAATGAAAGAACCAGTAGTCGTCAATGGCTAGGCTTGTGGACATGGGATAGAGAGGTCATGGGTTCAATTCCCGGTTAAGATGTTTCGTCCTTGGGAAAGGTACTTTACATGACTTACCTCACTTGGTGTAAATGAGTTGTAGCTTATGAAAAGTCAGGTTTGAACTCTTGATATCACATCAAAGCAAACTAATTTGGTCCGAAAGCATGAGGGATATTCTGACAACAGCAGTGCGTGCATGTACATTAAGTGATGTCTATGATCATGTAGTTTATTGCTTGCTCATCACCCTTTCAGTTATGACAGTGCAGCAGGCTGTCACTAATGGCACACATAGTATGTCATCAACAATGAAAGTTTCCATGGTTCAGGAAATGGCGCTTTCATCAAAATGTAAATCAGTACACCATCTGTATATGATGTTTCACAGTTCAGGGACTGGGCTAATGTTATTTTCAGCTGTAAGGCCACACCAATTTAATTTGTTGGTTCTCGGATTCGCCTCTTTGTTTTTTTCTGATTTGCAAAAAAAAAAAAAATTTGATTCTGGTCCTGAATCAACTGAAAAATGCTCATATTTTGCCCCCAACAGTTGAGGAAAGTCCTTTTCTTCCTAGTTGTTACAGTTTTCCCATCTATCATTGCAGTGGTTTGATTAAAAGTTGAAAATTCAATGTTTAAATTTTAACCCAGCCTTTTGTGTTGACTTCATGGCTCATTTTGTAGCATTTAAGCCTATAATAGGATGCCTAGACCTGTTTTTATTTTTATTTTTTTTCGCCCTGTCGCTTCATATTTTTTCTGAAAAAATCTGAGAACCAACAAATTAAATTGGTGTGGCCTAAAGTATACCTAGAGTAGTTAAATCATCCTTTGTGTTTTTAGTGGCATACTTGATTTCAAGTTAGCTTGTTGCTTCTAGTATG